GGACTAGGTGAGTTCTAAGCCTCTTCAGGTCCTGTTCCATCCTCGCCTTCTCGAGCATAACTTGTTGCAGAAGGAAGTGGCGGAGTTCCACAACATTTGACGAAGCCTGAAAGTTGCGCCAGTAAATGCCAAGTTGAGTAGCAACAAGTAATTCTAGTAACAACAAGTAATTCTATGGACAATAGGTATTAATAATTTCGGACATCTGATACCCAACGCCATCTAGTTTGAAACTAAGCAGAGCTTGTACTATAAAAGCTAGATTGACTGATAAAATACTTATATACTTTTTTAAATAATATTTTTTATAGTTATTTGTATACATAGAAAACACCCAAACTCTGAAACAAATATTTGCAGATCATACAATTATTTGGTCCGACTCGGGAATCGAACCAATCCGAAAATAGAACACAGTTAAATGTTATGAAAAGTCGAATAAATTTACTTCTATGCAACAATGAAAACAGTCACCAGTCATTCTTAACGAGCTACCAACGTTCCCCTAGTACACACACACAGACAAACTCTCACTTGCACACACATTTACATATACTCACGCATTCCTATATACACACATAAGTTCAGTAACACGCACTTTACGGGCGCAGGGAATATTTCAGTACGTTGACTTGATATGAGCGACCTAGTTACGCTTTTTACTAATACTAAACCTCTATAACATCGACTTACCTTCTTTTTTCAAAATTATTTTGTTTGGTGGCTGGAGCAGCCACGGATTGCGTGCCAACGCGCAGTCGATGTCATTCTGCCTACCCTCGAAGTGTAGGTAGAGAAATAGGTAGGACTGCCTCGCATCCAAACAGTGGTGGTCGATCGAATCGAATGAGACCCGTCCCAGCCAGTAATCATTACTGCCATGCTGGCGGATGAGGAGGGTTGGGGCGCAGTAGTCTCTTTCTGTGAAATCATAATGCTCCAGAACAGAACTTGATCGGAGTAGGCCTAGAAGAAAGTAGTCTAAACTTTTTTTCAATGACATAAATTGCGTCGACTTCAAATATTTTTTTTATTAGGGTAGGAAGATGATGAGAACAAGTAAACAAACTATCAACATCATTATTGTACTAATAGTACAACCGATCACTGTAGGGAAGTCACTATTTCGTTAAACATGAAGTGCACTAGTGAGCGCATTCCCTTATTGAGCCGCCCAGTACACCGGTCTGTAATTTTAACATGTTTGAAAAATGATTTTTGAATTTTGTCTTTTCTGTGGTTTTTCGAGACTACAATGTAGAATGAAACTGAAACTGCCAGGTAATGAGGATGGTACTACGAAGGGCGTAGTACCATCCTCATTACCTGGCAGTTTCAGTAAGAAACGGCAAACCATCTCATTATAACAGCTCTGAGAGCAATCTTTGATATGATCTTGGTCGAAAGCGTGACTAGGTTTCGACTAACACCTTATGTCACTCCTGCAGTGAGGGGAAGACCTCCACAAGAATTAACTTGTCCTTGTTTAAAGCTTAATTTTGGAGATCTACTTCGAGTTTAGACAGTTTGACGTTTTTAGGTACGTGAATGTACACATACATAAAAAAATACACTAAGATATGTTTACAGTATTTTTTTTGTCAAATAAGGGTCAAACGAACACATAGGCTACTTGGAAAACTTTCCAGGTTTACTAACACGCACTTTACAGGCTGCAGGGAGTATTTCAGTACGTTGACTTGATATGAGCAACCTAGTTAGGAGTTCACTAAGACTAATTATCTATCTATTTATATATTTAGTAGTGTTCAGTTAGTTTGTGTACGCTTCATAAACTCAAAAAGTTCTTCACCGATTGAGCTCAAATTTCGAAACGATAAACAACCCGCTTCAAAAATTTTACTCGTATTTGTCAATTTTTTACCGACTTTTCTTCGTGTCAGTTTTATTCCTCATCCATGCAACCACATTGTGGACATCGCAATGTTGCACAGTTACTGTTAGTATATATTTTTATTTATTTATTTATGATAAGTTAATGCACAAGTTGTACACAGGCGGACTTAATGCCCAGGGCATTCTCTGCCAGTCGACCTTCGGGTGATGTAGAAAAGTTATACGGTAGGTGCAAGGGAGAACAAGAAATTTGATTGATTTATGTTAAAGATATTAATTTACACATACACATACATATATATTTATAAATATATCAAAATACACAGTGGGGGTACTAGCGTTGTGACCTTTCTGCTAACTAATTTTGGAGAAGATCTTGTACTCTTTTCATGAACATAAAGCGGTTAGTGGACATATATACTTATATTATTTACTAGCAGACCCGGCAAACGTTGTATTACAAAACAAAAAAAAATAGGGATGGGTCACCCTTACCATTTAGGGGTACGAAAAATAGATATTGGCCGATTCTCAGACCTACCCGATGTGCACACAAAATTTCATGAGAATTGGTCAAGCCGTTTCGGAGGAGTACGGGAACGAACATTGTGACACGAGAATTTTATATATGTATAAGATTTATATCAGCTTACCTTCTGTTTTTTTTAGAAAGTTATTAATATTGTATAGTTATTAGCTCGGGCCTCGAATAGCTGTAGTAGTTACTACATTGTAGTTGCATTGATGAGAAATAAGGAATTATAGATGCGAAATATAAATAAAAACATTCTTTGAAGCGATTGTATTATTATAACGTATCAAAATTTAAGCTCAATCGTTGTAGAACTATTTGTTTTTTTTAGGGCATACACAAACCAAACTTAACATTTTTAAATATACAGATATTACAGACATATAGATATTTATTATTAGTAAAAATCCTAACTAAGAATATTTTTATATATGAAGATTTTTGATTCATATTTTAACCTATTATAATGTTTTTATCACTTTCTTTATCTCTAACACCCCAAGGGTTACTGACAGAGAAAACATTTGGAATTAAGTTCTCTATATTTAAAAGGATAAGTGTGAGAAGCAGCCCAGATTCCGAATATCGTCTGTAAATGCTGTTTCAAAACGTTTTCGTCGCCTGCCTCGGGACTCATCTACATGAACGAGATGAGGTTCCGGTTCGACTCCCGTACATGATATCAAAAAATGATGCCAAAGACAGGTAAGGCAGTTATCAAACGTTTTGAAAATATAAGAGTATGTTAATATCTACTGTACACCGTAGTGAGGCGTAGTTTGGAGGCGGATTTTCCTTGGAGGGAATTTGCCTTAAATGTGCACGTATACAGCTTTTTTTTCCTTTCCTTTAAAGGATAAGAAGATAAGAATTTACTCTCACACCTAAATTTCCAACGACATAACACAGTATTAAACAGATTGAGTCGGCTTTAATTAATAATAATAATATTTCGGACATCTAACACACAACGCCATCCAGTTTTAAACTAAGCTGAGCTTGTACAATGAAAACTAAATTAACCGAAAAATACTTATATACTTTTCTGTAAATATATGCTTAGAAAACACCCAACTCTAAAACAAATATTTGCAGGTTAGCTAAACACAGACACAGGGAGCTATCAGGCATATCTCTCTCGTTGCCTGTATCGCTTCCACTTACAGGCAGCTATGTCCCGTGTACTCTCTATGCTCATACTGTATGGGATTGCCTGTAAGTAGAATAGCGACGTCGGTAGAAAGAGAAAGAATACGGAGACGACTTCGGGCCAACAAATCATCGAAGAGGTGCGAGAGAGACGCATGTAAATCGCCGTCTTCTTTCTCTTTTTACTAGTATCCCTGGACCGTGGCTCGCTTCTCTCCTCCATATATATATCATCTCTATGAGCGCCTTCGCCTACCCCCGAGTGAGTGAGATTCCCTCTCTAAATCTTCTGGACAGTTTTAGGTGTCTATGGGCGGCGATAGTCGCTTACCTTCAGGCGATCCATCTTCTCGTTTGCCCCGAATGCTATAAAAAAAGAAACATTAATATCTAAACTTCTATGTGCCTATTTTCTTAATCAATAAGTCGGTTAGTCGTAAAACACACATCAAAGTAATAATTTGTAAACAGGCAAAATAATATGTATCATAACGACTAGTCTTCAGGTCAAATTAAGGTCACATTATCTCTAAACTATGCTGATAATTATTGACACAGAGACAATATTGCAGAGAGGGATTTAGGAGAGCGCACAAATTGTATATTTTAAAACATATAATTCATTAATTTTCTTGATACATTATCATCATCATCCTTTAGTAGTCCGCTGGTTCGATATAAGCCTCTCCTTAGAAAGAAGGTTTTTACCTACTATACCACGCTGGCTAGATGAGTTGGTATAGGGTTTTTATCAAATTTTTCTTCTCTTTGCAGTGCTGTTCTCCTGCGTAGTTTACTCCCGTGGTCGGCTCTTACGACACCCACGGGATGAATATGCGCGAGGAGAAATGAGTGTTATACCCCTCTAACACAAAAAAAGGGAGTGTCATCAGAGCTGGCAAAAAATGTCCTTCAGGATATACAATCTCCACTGATATCATAAACGCGAAAGTAACTCTGTCCATCTGTTACGCTTGCACGGGTAAATAGCTATACCGATTTTAATAAAATTTCCCATGGAGATACTTGGATTCTTATTCTTGAAAGTAACCTATGTACTTCCGTACATAGGTTACTTTTTAACACAATAATCAACATGCTAGCGGGCGGACCACCAAAAATTTCTAATTTATTTTAAAATATCTCAAACATCTCACACACTTTTGATCCCGAACTAGGCAGAGCCTGTACTATGGTAACCAGACTGCTGATAAACATACTTTTATATTTTTAAATACATACATATTATATATAAATTACACCCAGGCACAGAATAAATGACCGTGCCCATCACACAATATTTGTCCTGGGTGGGAATCGAACCTACGACCTACGGTTTAGCAGTCAGGATAACTAACCACTAGACCAACAGGCCCGTCAAATTAATACATATAATAACATTTATATATTTTTTAAATACTTAACATTGAATGCCTCCCTATAGTAATAAGTACTGTATAAAATGAAGCAACGAGTTCATATTAAAACTGTTACAACAATAGTTATCGTTAGTCAAGGTTTTAACATGAAATACGTTTGCTTCTTCTTAATTTTGTTTGTGGGTCTGGCGATGTCTGAAGTCGGTAAGAACGTTTTTTATAAAACTTATTTACTAAAGATAATTTTACGCGTTTTTTTTTCCCTAATCGTCTATGTAACTTACGAATTAGTGATCAAAAAATGACATAACTTCTGGCAAAATTATAAAAAAATATGTCTGTAGCAAGCTAATTATTGAAAAAAAAAACCGGTCAAGTGTGAGTCGTCGTCGTCGTTCTTTCTTTATTTTTGCCTTGCTTTTTATTGTGTTGACTCAGGACCTTGATTTTTATACTAATAGGACTATAGACCTCGGTATCTGGTATAAATTTCAACTTACTAGGTCCACCCGTTCCTGATGAAACCGGTGATGACACACGGACAGACAGACGGACAAGAGAGTGATGTCATAATATAGTTTTTAGGTTATTGATTCCCTATACAATTTTCCACCCTCCTTTTCACCTCCTTAAAGGATGATGTCTATAATAAAAACTACCCTATCTCCTTTCCCGAGACTCGGACTATCTCTATACCAAATTTTATCTAAATCGGTTCAGCGATTTAGGCGTGAAGAGATAACAGACAGACGACAGACACACTTTCGCATTATTGATCTTAGTATGGAATTAAGTACAAGTACATACCTTTAAATTGCCTGATGTTATGACCAGAATAATATGGCAGCTGTAGTCACAGGCTGACTCCTGTCAGGAATCCAAAGGCCCCGTAAACATAATTATATATTACTAGGTTTTAGCGCGGCTCCGTTCGCGTGTATGTCGGTTATCGAGATAAAAAGTAACCTATGTTACTCGGTGATAATGTAGCTGTCCATTGCTAAAAGAATTTTTTTAATCCGTTTAGTGGTTTAGGCGTGAAAGCGTAACAAATAAACTCACTTTTACATTTATTATATAAATATGGATAAAACCGCGATAGTTTATAAGGTAGTATACATCATTTGTTTTTCCCGGCATACAAGATATAGTTACTTATAAATATTTTTTCTGTAAATATTTGACAAAACAGAGATTGTTGCTTTTTATGTGTTGATCTATGACTTTAGAGTCTACATAAAAGACGATTTCAAATAATTTTAAACAATTTTGTTAAATAAAGATATTTTGAGTTTAAGTTTAAGAATCTTTCGTGATCATTGTGCTTGATTACAGATCCCAAATGTTCGCAACCAATTGATCCTGGTATTTGCTTCGGATACAGTGAAATGTATGTATGTTCAGACTAATCTAACGAACTCTAGTTCTAGGTATCGAAAAGTCCTTGATATTTTACGATATAATGATATGCTACCACATGCATACAACGCCATCTAGTCCCGAATTAAGCAGAGCTTATACTGGTACGGTATGGTAATGGTATGGTACTAGACAACTGATATAAAAACATATCCTTTTTTTAATACTCACATTATTACCCAGACCACATCACACATTACACATTACCCAGACCAAATCAAACATTAAATGTTTATGCTCACAAATGTTTGAATTGACTTGGGCCATCGTATTTCTTATCATATTTATTTTAATTATATCTCTAATATCAGGTTTAACCTTTACTCGTTGAACTATACCAGACATAGAACCGTTACAAATATATTTTTTAACAGTTTTACCTAATAGTTTTCATTTTCTTTTATATATCTCTAATATTATGCCTTCATTTTTATTTTTATTTTAGTATGGTACAAGGTTTACATGCGTTAGTTGTGATTGCCTATAATTGAATGAGCACAAGGCATGTCTCACGAAAAGTAACGACAGTTTTTATGTCAGTCATTCAGCGCCATCTATCGAATAGATAGGAAATCATTACTTTTCATCTCAGTATTTTGAATTGTCACTTGTCAGTCATTCAGCGCCATCTATCGAATAGATATGAAATCATTTCTCAAGGAGATTTTACCAATGTATAAATTGTTTTAATTAGAAACCAACTGAAAAATATGTAGGTAATAGCCGCTTTCATAGATGGCGTTGTAATTAAAATCGTGTCGAATCAGTTTTACTCGATCGTCACAACTTCGTTCCTATCGGGTGTCCCACGACACCACACGGCTTTTTATTTTTTTGTATATTTTTTACTTATTGTAGACATGTGTATCATTTGTTGTCGATCCAAAATAAATAAATAAAAAACCTTAACCAAAACTGACATCAATATTTTGCCTTAACACTACTTTTGATCCTACTTTTATAATTATATTTTGTTCCAAAGTCCTGCAATCACCGAAGCGTCGTCTGCATACTTTTTTGAGCGAATTTCAACAATACACATGTATGAGTAAAGCGTTGTCTGCGATGGCCTAGTCAGCCTAGATATCTAATACTGACACAGTCACTATAACATGTTGTTAGTTTTTAACTAATTGTTAGAATTTAGAATTATGATGATCAGTCAGTCAGTGAAGGTCTCAGTGACAAAACTAAGGAACTTTGACGGGCAATAGTTCTTAAACTACAAGTTCAAATTGAATGTTACTGAGAATATATGTAAGTCATATTATGCCCCATGTGTCTTTAAAACTTCAGGGTTCCAGCCAGGACAAAATTAAAGGATCTTGAAATTGACCAAAATGACTTCGAGAAAAGGATGGTACGGCTGTGCCTCTTTGTTTTGCTCGACTTGGCGGGGGCACTACCGTGCCCCCAATTGTTTGCATGTCGTAGAGCAGCTATTGTTTATAGTCCTCGGACCCCAAGACTTTTTTTTTTATTTATAACGTACAAGTTTAAACTTAGCCGACCTATTTGTATTATTGAGTCGGACAAGTTTTTCACGTACCAAGTCTGAAATAGGCAGCATTTTTACTCCTCCGCCCTGCAAACACGTTTATTTAAAGATAGTATGTTTTTTTTATTACCTACCAATAAATTTTCATTCTAATTACAAGATAATAACGGTAAATTAAGGAAATATCCGACTCGCGCAACGTGCCGAATTTTCGTGGATAGGTATGTTTTTTTATTACCTGCAAGCTAGTACTTGGCGAGTCGTCTCTTTTGTATATTGTAATATTGTAGTCGTCAGGTACAAATGTCCGACAAAAATCATGCATCTTGCACTGAGTCCGATGTGGTAAACATGTCAATTTTCGGGCAGTTATTTTATTTATTTCCTACATTTTTTTATGGTTTAGCAAAGAATATTGTAGTGTTTATAATATATTTCGGGGATGCCCCAGTTTCGGACTTGACGGGGGTTCGGTATACGTGAGCATATAATTAATTAATATCATTTTTTTTCCAGGTACGGTTTTGACGTAACTACTCAAGAATGTAAGAAGTTTATCTACGGAGGGTGTCAAGGCAACGACAACAGATTCTATAGTCTCGAGGAGTGTCAGAATAATTGCCAAGTTTAAATGCAACCTGAAATAATGTGATTTATGGCAATATATGTTAGATTTATTTTTTCTGAGTTTCTTTTTTAAAAATAGTCTAATTACCTTAGGAGAACCATACTTTTGCAATAATGGGTCATCGACTCGAGTGGTTCCACGGCCTTACAGAAATCCGGTGTATAGCACTTCTTTCGTTGCTTTTCATCAAAACAGTGAGGTTCATCATCATCATCAACAGCCTTCCATAATCCACTGTTGTACATTGGCCTCTCCTTAGAAATGATGTTGTGACCTACTATACCACGCTGGTTAGACAGGTTGGTATAGGGTCTGTGTCAAGTTTTCCTTCTCTTTGCAGTGCTTTTATTCTGCGTAGTTTACTCCCTTAGTCGGCTCTTACGACACCCACGGCATGAACAGAAGTGGTGACAATCCATATTCTTAATCCTTCACCAACTCACCACACTGTCAATGAGTTAGGTTACCGGCGCCAAAGCCCCTCCTCCTCTTCAATCTGGGGAGGTAGAGTCAAGGGGCGGCAACACATCTTCTAGCTGCAAGTGTCCGTCGACTGACAGTTTAATCACGAACTCAAACTATACCGACTGAAGTATCATCATAAATATAAATCATCAATGTTCTTTGGCTCATATTTCGAAAAGATCCGATTTTAACGCCATCTATTTAATACAGTACTTACTTCTACAAAGTATGTAGTTGACCGAACCAACACTAGATGTCGCTTTACACATTAGATTAAACAATGATTTAATAAATAACGTTACATTTCCCGTTAATGTTAATAGTGATTTCATAGGTTCAATTGGGTCCTATTTGGTAGTATCCTGACGACCAGTAGTCGCGAGACTTGGAGCGGCCAGTCGCCAGAGGTGGATTGCGGATGCGCAGCGCTACATTTTTATCTAATTTTTCATATTAATGGATGCAGGAGGCTTAAAAGATGCAGGTCGTAACCGCCCGTAAATCTTCTCATCCTACTGATGGCACAAATACATAAAAAATAATTTGCCAACAATAAAATTTCTGTTACTACATATATCTATTTCCGCTCTAAGTACTCTGAAGCCAAACAATAATATTTTCAGTCCTAACAACAAATAGATTCATCAATTGTGAAGTGTTATTGATCGGTCGCAATACAATTTAATGGTGTACTGTGAGTTTATTTGTTCAATTTCTTCTCACAAGACTATTTAGAGAAGAGCTCCAGTTCGTGGTGCTAACCTTGGGGGAGGCGTATGTCCACCAGTGGACGTATTTCAGCAGGTCAGCTAGTGCAATATAAAAGCCTCAACACAGTGTTCCATTTTTTATAAATTTCTTCCTTACTTTTTCAAAAGGTGCAAACCTTTTGAGGTTTGATAAAACTTTAGCATGTAGTTAGACGAAATGTATACCTAAAATTTAGTTTTTTTTTTCAAATTGGTAATTCAATTACTTAGGAAACTTTCAAGATGACGTCTAAGTTGTGTTACGTGTACCAACTTCTTAAAAGAATTAATAAGGGGTTTGAAGATCTCTTAAATTTACAAGTTTCTCAATGGATAATAAAGCCGTGTAATATCACAGCCATGGATGAAGCCAATGTGATAACGCAAGAATATTACAATCAGCACAGACGAGGGGCTTCAGCAGAAGTTTCACCAAGGTTATCAG